TAAAATTTTTGCCACGCATTTGCAACAAACCTAACCTCTTCACATGTATTGTTTCCAGGGTAATCTTCTTAACTAATGTGTAAGCCAATTTATGTAATTTTCAAAACATATTTTAATATATACTGTAGATCATACATGGAGAAAACTAGAATAATGCTTTGTAGACAAGCCTATATATATCTTCTGTAATTTGAAAGATTTCAGTTTAAAGCTGAGTGAAACACTGTAGTGGACTTATTCTTGTTCCCAAGTATTCACACTTACTACTCTTTGCAATGAGGGCTCCCTTTGGGAGGAAGAGGCATCCCCACCCATCTGACATTAGGAGTGAGTGGACATGTGACTTCTCTGGTCAATAGCAAGTGAGCAGACTGGATGATTGTCTCGTCTGAGCAAAAGCTTTAAGAGCCCTTAAGGGTTTCCGCTCTCTTGCTTTTCCCTGCACTAGGAGTAAAGTCTGTCCCAGATAAAGGCTGCTCCTTCAGTTTGGGTACTGGCATGAAGACATGTAGAGCAGACTTGCAGATGACCCATATCTGTCAATATGCAACATGAGCAAGAAATGATTGCTGATGTAAGCCACTGACATTGGAGTTTTGTTAATGCAGCATGACTCCCTTCAGCAAAAACATGTTTTAGTGCTACATTCTCAAAGTAGCTTTCAGTGAACTGTGAGCAGTCTTGGCTTTTTAACGTCATTATTTATAAATGTTTATGCCATACGCTAAAAAATCATTCTTTTGGATTCAAAATGTTTTAAAATCAGATAATTAAGATAAATAAGTATTTTCTGAAGGAAACATGTTTCATACTAAATTAAATATTGAAAACAAACAGAAGTGAAACATAGATCATACATTTACAATCAGGAATAATATAACTGCTCCATTTAAAAACCACTCTAAAATTAGATCAAAATTAAAACACCTTCTTCCCTCTTCTCACTCCAAATTCCCAGAAATACAAGAAATTTCTCAAGAGGAAATTTGTAATAGTGCTAGAAAACAATAGTTATATTTAAGCAAGGTTGCTTTTTTTCTTTTTCCAAAAAGTCAGGAAAGAATGCAGGAAGAGAAACCCAAAACCTACAACACTATTAGAAGAGTCTGCCTCTGTATCTCTCTTCCCACAGCAGCCACTGGTTCAATAATACATTCTGCACAGCTTTTCTGGCTTCTCCTTCTCACTCTTCCCACTCATTGGCTTCTGCTTTCTAAGACTAACTCCTAAAACATCTATTTGTACCCTAGTCTTTGTTTCAGGGCTCTGACATTGTAGGAACCCAAACAAAGTCAAGCCCTGATGGTTCCCCAAGATCCAGCGCCTCACTTCTGGCTTCCTTCTCTCATTCTCATTCTCTCTCTCTCTCTCTTCCCTCTCCCTTTCCTTCTCTCTCCATATTCTTACCCAGCATATTCACAATTAAACTCATCACCATTGTTTCAAACCTGTCTTTCTAACTTCTCATTCATCCAGGAACAAAACCTCGGGTTCATCTTTGACCTTCTATCACATCTCACAGATCCATTTAATTTAAAGTCCAGTCATTTCAACTTACTCAGTTCATTCTCATCCTTCCTCATCCTACCTACCTCTGCCAGCTTGGTTTAGGTCTCACAATCTCACGCATGGATATTATGAAAGGTTACTGACTGATAACCCCAGTTACCTTCTCTCCTTGGTATAACATGTCATCTAACCTTCCTGAAGCAAGCTCTGGCAATATTATGTAACTCCACTCAAAAACCTCTTGTAGAATTCAATGTCTATGCTCCAAAATAAAGCCCTCTTGACCTCAGCCTATCTTTGCCAACAACTTTATTCATTATTTCAAGAGCCTTTCCAATAGAGCCACTCATCATTCTCTCTACAAGTTTCATGTTTTCCCACCTCTGCCTGTGCTCTGTTCCCTAAACCTGGAAAGCTCTGACCCATTTTTCATCATACTCAAAACCTCTCTTGTGTCAAGTGCTACTTCTTCCAAGAAGAAGTCTTCAATGATTCCCCAAATAAAAACACTATCTCTCTTCTGAGCTCCTATAACGCTTAAATTGTACTTTTCTTGGAACTTCTATCACTTGTTTTAAACTAGAGTATAACTTACATTAAAATGTAAAAATCTTAGATTTGATGATGTTTTACATATATATCAACATATATACCACTCTTGTAATCCGCCATCCAGATTAAGATATAAAACATTTCTAGCATCCAGAAGGTTTCTTTGTGCCCCTTCCAGTCAAACCCCTTTCTTTTCTTTTTGCTTTTTCTTTTTTTTTTTTTTTTGAGACAGCGCAATGGCGCGATCTCAGCTCACCGCAACCTCTGCCTCCTGGGTTCAGGCAATTCTTCTGCCTCAGCCTCCTCAGTAGCTGGGATTATAGGCACACGCCACCATGCCCAGCTAATTTTTTGTATTTTTAGTAGAGACAGGGTTTCACCATGTTGACCAGGTTGGTCTCGATCTCTCGACCTTGTGATCCACCCACCTCGGCCTCCCAAAGTGCTGGGATTACAGGCTTGAGCCACCGCGCCCGGCCCAGTCAAGCCCCTTTCTAAGAGTAATCTCTATTCTGACTCACCTTAGATTAGTTTTGCCTGGTTTTGAACGTCACATAAATGCAGTCATGTATTATACACTCTTTTGCACCTGGCTTCTTTCATCCTACCTGTGACCTCTGAGATTCACCCAGGTCATGCTGATTATTAATTGTCTGTTGTTTTTAAATTATAGAATAGTAATTTTAAAAGTCCATTATAGGGTCATACCACACTCATGTAACCATTCCACTGTAGATGAATATTTTTTAGTGTTTTCACTATCACAAATAAGGCTTCTATGGACATTTCTGTATACCTTTTGTTGGACATCAGCACTCATTTCTACCCTTAAGAATAGAATTATTGGGTCATATTTTTATGTTTGGCTTAGAAAGCACTGCCAAACATTTCTCAAAAGGGTTTGTATCAATGTATACCCTACTAACCATATAAAAGAATTCCACGTGCTCCATATGCTTACCAACACTTGTTATTGTCATAACTTGTTATTGTCAAAACCCCTTTTGATGTCTGGGCTCTCACTTCTATATTAAATTATAACCATAAACAACAACATCACATAGAGCTTAACATTTTGCAAACTTTTAAACTGTACCATATCTCAGTGCATATTTTCTAGCCTATAACATAAGCAAGGACAGTCCTATTATTATCCTTATTTTATGTTAGGTAGGTGCAAAAATAATTGCGGCTTTTGTCATTAAAAATAACAGCAAAAACCACAAGGACTTTTGCACCAACCTAGCAGATGAGAAAACAGGTTCAGCGCGGAGAGCTTGCTCTCATGACCAGCTTGCTCAGAGTCACGAATCTAGTGAGTGGTGGAGACACTGAATCATGTACATCTACCATGGCACATGGTTTATAGTTATAAGTGTATATGTTTTATGTCTGCTAGCTAACTAATAGCTCTTTGAGGTTGAGACTTATTTTTAATTTATCACTAACAAAGGAATGAATGAACTGAAATATAAAACCGTAATTTCTTTGTACATAAAAACTTTACAATAATTGGTTATCATAACATAATGACTAAGAAGCACCATCACTTGTTATCTGAATCACAAATGATTGTATTTCAGTTTCACAGATTCACAAATATCTAAATATTTAGTCTTAATTAATGACTTTCTTTGAATATTAAAGGATTAAAAACTTACAAGCCTCTGTTCAAAGGGTTATTTTAAACTCACTTATTTTTACTATTACTAAGCAGTCTTAAAGATTATCAAAAATATCTGGGTTCTTAAATCAACCAGATTGCAGTTTTGTATTTTGTGCATACAACACCATAGTTAGCATCTTAATACGGGTTTTTAGTTGTTTTTCTTGTGTATAACCTAACAATATGCCAAGAAGTAGTAAGGAAAATAAAAGAAATACTAATATAAATGGATGTACACAGAAGTTTTATAGTCAGCAACTTTGGGTAGCTTATTAAAAGATTATTTGATTCTTTTAAGTCAAATAATCTTACAATAAAAAGATTTCTTAAGATAGTCTGACATCTTCCAACTTATGAAGCGTCAGTCAATAAATCAGGAGCTATCTGTATCAACAAGCATGTGTTTTAGAAGATATATGGCAAATTACAGAATAACCCGATTACTTTTTATGCTGTCGGAAAGTACAGATGACACATTTAAGCAATCTGACATCAATGGATGGCTAGACCTTGGTGTGCCTTAAAAATCACCCCTTTCATTCAAGAAGAATGGTACCATGTTTTACACCCGCACCCAAGGTGAAAGCTACCATAGACACGTCCAAGTATCCACTTCTTTTTTGTCTATGTATGTTCATCTTTTCAAACGTGTTATTATCATTTTATGCATCTCTAAAACATTTAACTTCTAAAACTTCTTACTTTTGACCTATAAAAAATCATCAAGAGTTTTAAAATACATATTTGAGGCAGAGATTGTAAATGTAAATCATAGATAATCAAAATAATCGACCTTCATCATCAGATACTTCACATCAAAACTGACTTTCCATCTGAATACTTCTCTCTCTAAGGCGAAATAACCTAGCTAGGTGTGCACTGACACGTTCCAAGGTGACCACACAATTCGTTTGTGGCATACCAAGGTATTTACAACTCAAGCCTGCTGTAAGATACAATAAATTCATAGCACGCCACAGGTATCTGAGAACTTCCTGTAATTCATAGGAGATGATCAGATATAATGAAATGTGTTTAATACAAATTCCTGTCTTGTATTCAAGGCCAACTTGATTTTCAGAACAGCAACAGAAAGCTACACAAGTAAATCCTCTAGATATAGTCAGTCAACCATTTTCTCAAACATATTAGAGATGTTTGATTACAGCCATATACCTTTGAACTTGTTTGAATTATAGAAAACAATTTCACTTTTCAAGTTCAGACATGACTGATAAAAATAGATCCTGTTCCCAGTAGCAAATGAACGTACCTCTCATGCATGTAGTCAACTCCCAGCAGCAGCTGGATAAACCATTCTATTATTTGATTTTCTGGAAACAGTTTTCCAGCTTCTTTATATTCCTGAATTTTATAGTCTAGATCTCGGCCCTAAAATGAAGAGCATAATATTTCATAGTTTTTCAGCTAATATTTTAAAATCAAGCTCACTTAACAACAGCTAATACATAGCAGTCACTGTTTATAATAAGAAAGTGCCACTCTGTAATTAGCACTACAAAGATTCTCTCTTTAACCGAAGTCTATTCAGGTTCATCTAAGCACTCTTATCAACCTTGACCTATAAAGACCTGAACAAACATGAATGTATTAACAGTTTCTAAAAGCCCAAGGCCACATCCCTAGAATGGTTCTACCCTCCCACCCCTTAAAGTTCCTGCCTGAGAAAACTCAAAGTAGACAAAAGAATTGACTGTCTGTTCCAGTCGATGCCTGAAGATAAGTTCTTGTCTCCCAATTTCTAAGGAAGGTTAGAAATCTAACTTTGATGAGCACCAGTTAACAAACCCACATGGTTTTAAGGGACCAGCTTTCACTTTCTGATTTTTCTAATTTTTCACTTCCTTGACGTTGCTCAGGCCCCTGCTGTTCCTCTTCCCTACTTCTTTATCCTCCCTGAATACCCAGTCACTCTGCACAAATCAGAATGGAGATTAGCTCTTTCCCCTAGTGTTAGTAACTATTCCATAAAATCTGTTTTAAAGGCTTTAACTAATGATATCACTCAAGGAAAAAACTCTTATAAGGAGAAAAGTTATATAAACCTTCAACCTAAATTATTTTTTATATTACCTAAATATGCACCCACATAAAAGTAGCAATAACTTTTCTTTACGCTCAGAGTTGTAGATAATTATAGAATCTTAACATATATAAAAAGTCTACCCAATAAAATTCAAATGAGTATTATTAATTTAATATAAAGTGATGATTTTTGGGTGAAACTAAATTGGAACTTACGTTGTGCATACAGCTGCTGTAGTATAGATTCTTTCGAGTTTGGTATGCCCAGGGAACCACGTGCACTGGGATGACTGAATTATCCTTTCCTCTATAAAACTATAGCAAAACCCTAAGGAATACACTAACTATGAGTCTACATAGAGACCCAAGCACATCATTTAAGCATTTAGTCAGTCTCTATGCCACCACTCACTGGCAATGGGTAAAATAGTAATACCTATTATGAAAGCCAAAAACTATGATAAAAAAATGACAAACATATAAAATAGCCTGGCAGTGTCTGATACAATGCCCTTTCTGAATATGCTTGTATTGATGTATTTCAATTATTATAAAAATAAAAATGTCAAATGCTAAATTCTCTTAGAGAACCCTTAGACCTGATCCCTTTTACTATAAAACACTGAAAAATTAGAAATAATTTGAGAAATGTTCCTTGAAAGAAAAGGATGGATTAAGTGTAACTGTATTTGGACATGTTTGCAGAATCCAAAACACAGGCCCCATAAAGAGTGGGAAAGGTACTTACCATGATCATGGGGAGCGTAAGCGGAAAAGATGAAACTAGTCACAGACTACTCATGACAGAGTTGTTAAGATGCAAAGGAAGAACATTTGCAGGCACTGAGACAATCCAAGGGAAATCACTTCTAATGAAACAACATGAGGTCAACTGATTCACTTCTAATCAATTTTTTTTTCCCTTACAGTACAATGCGCAAATATTTGCTTGGCATTTTCTCTCCTACATGGGGCCATAACAAATCAAAAGTATAGCAAACATTCACTTGCTGTCTAGCTCAAGTACAGCTCTCTGATAGATTTTCTGGGCCAGGAAGACTGTTCCAAAGCTTGCTGGAATTCAAAAATATGGCGAATTGAATATTTGACTCCTTGTCTAAAACAGTGTCATTTCTTCCTCATTCTCCACACCTGCCTTCATTTCTCCTCTCTTTTTCATCCTAGAGTTTATCGGAATACTGTTAAGCCGCATAAGCTGTACTCTCATGTTTCTATAAGTTGCAAAGAACATTTTTGACCATAGATCATTACAACATCCTGTGCAGTACACATAAAAGTCCTTCAGATGAAAGGTGACCTGTAAATATACAGTTGACCCTTGAACAACACAGGTTTGAACTGCATAGCTCTGCTTCAAATATCAGTTCACAAGCTTATAGTATCAGCTTATAAGCTGATCTTTTTCAACCAAACACATATTGAAAATATAGTATTTGCAGGAATGGAAATCTGCATATAGGAAGGGCTTCTGTTTATATAAAGGTTCTGGTATATCTCATTTAGTTTCTCTGAATACAATAAAACATCTCCAGTGGCAGAAAGACGATTGCCTACATGATGCCATCTTCTTCCTGAATAGCTTCAGAGGAGGAGTGGAAGGAGAGCAAAGAAGACAAAGACAATGATAAAGAAAAAGGAAAAGGAAAACTTGCCTTAAAGAAATATCAGTGAAGCTGCCTGCCAGCTTCTTATATCAACCCAATGTGTATCACTTTAAAAATACCATCCATAAGCACAATTGTCTCTATGTACAAAAATTACGGTCCCAGACATGTGCATTTTAAAAAATGTGTTAACCTTACTAAGGACAACCTAGAATTATAGTGGCCACAGTGGAGTTTAACCCAGATAAACCTGGTCACTTGTGAGGCACATTAAAAACGAATCCCAGCACTTTGGAAGGCCAAGGCGGGTGGATCACAAGGTCAAGAGATTGAGACCATCCTGGACAACATGGTGAAACCCCGTCTTTACTAAAAATTCCAAAGTTATCTGAGCATGGTGGTGCATGCCTGTAGTCCCAGCTATTCAGGAGGCTAAGGCAGGAGAATCACTTGAACTCAGTAAGCAGAGGTTGCAGCAAGCCGAAATTGCGCCACTGCACTCCAGCCTGGTGACAGAACAAGACTCCATCTCAAAACAGAAACAAAAACAAAAACAAAAACACCACAAAAACAAAAAGAAAAAGAAAAAGAAAAAAGAAAGGATCCAACATACCACAAAAGCAATGGGACACATTCTTTAATTGATACACAGAATTATTAAATAGCTAAGATATTAAATAAATCAAAGATTTCCTCTTTAAAAGATTCTTTAGAGGAGGCAAATAAAAAAAAACTAGTCTTTTCTATCATTCAAAAGCTTTAACCATCTGAGTGGGTAATCTTGTTCCACAGGCCAGATAAAGTTCAGTTCCAGATATCCTTTAATATATTAGTGAGCTTTGTGTTATTGTATTTGGCACCTGGCTATTTGTTTTTATGTGTATATTTACATGTGTCAGTATGTATGTTATGAATGTGTCATATATTTATTTTTCCTTATGGTATTGCCAAAATTAAATTGTAAAAGAGAATTACGTAATTGGCTTAAAGAAAAATAAGTGCTTATATAAAATAGGTACTCCTTAAACCCTTAGAAAGAAAGCTAAAATATTTTTCAAGTTTACATAATCTTGGATAACCTTTGGTAAATGAAAGCTAATAAAAGTATGTTGGCTTGATTAATGCAGGCATATCTTCAGAGTTGTCGGCATTTAGCATAATACAGATGCACAACTCTTGTTCCCTAGGTTTAGTGAAATAAATTTATGTTATCTCTATGTGACATAACTTGTCAGCAAGAAAAATAACTTAAGGTGATGGCTAGGCATTTAATGTCTCATCTTTATGAGCATTTCAAGCATAACTGTTAGAAACAAGATTTAAATAGAGGTAAGATAAAATTCCCATGTGAAGAATGACCTTTCTATACCAGAAACTTTTAACATTCTTATGAAGGATGGGGGAAAAACAGCCCTAAAAGGATAGAGGTAAAAAATTGCTTCCTCTACCATTCCTAAATACAGAGAAGCTAAAGACAGCTAGGACTGTTAATACCTCTGTGCCACATTGAAAAAAAAATGTGTTATAAAAAAGTACACACTCCTAGAATTATAATTCACAGATTTTCCAATCTATAGACTGCTAGTATGATATTCACACTTGCTTGCTTCCTAGTGTTCACTAGAAATTAAGGTCATAAAGGGCTAAGAATACTAATTAAAATATATAACTAAAATTACTAGAAATACTAAGGGAAACAACTTTATATGCAAGTATACAAGGTAGGTCAGATGTGCTTTTGGTAAGGAAAAGCCTAAGTTATGAGGATGTGTATTGCTTTGTTAAAACAAAAATAGAAAAATTTGTGTTCTAAAGTAGAATGATTTAATTGTTCCAAAATGAGAAAGAAGTATGGGGGGGTAAAAACCTGTCTGGATATTAGAAAGTGATAGGGTTTGGCTGTGTCCCCACCCAAAATATCATCTTGAATTGTAATTCTCATAATCCCCTCATGTCGAGGGGGTATCAGGTAGAGATAATCAAACCACAGGTGGAGTTTCCCGCATGCTGTTCTCACAATAGTGAGTCTCATGAGATCTGATGGTTTTATAAGCATCTGGCATTTCCCCTGCTTACACTAACTCCATCCTGCTGCCTTGTGAAGAAGGTACCTGTTTCTCCTTTGCCTTCCAACAGGATTGTTAAGTTTCCTGAGGCCTCCCCAGCCATGCAGAACTGTGAGTCAATTAAACTTTTTCCTTTATAAATTACCCAGGCTTGACTATTTCTTCATAGCAGTGTGAGAATGGACTGATACAGAAAGTCTGTAGAAGAAGAATCTTGGGAAAGAAATTTTGTATGTGATTAAGCTAGCTAAGATTAGATGTGAATTTTTTTCTAACAATTAGGCATTAATATCAAAAACACAATGACGAGAAATTAGAATTTCATCCTCTATACTAAAACAACTTTTCCTTGAGACACTGGTCTTCTTTTAATAGGAAATTGTGAAAAGGTTTTCTGTTTGTTTTGTTTTTACCTTTTAAGTAATTGGCCAAGGAAATATTCTATGTTTTAAAATTAAGAAAGTCAGTAAGAGAGGTGCCATGATGGCTGACTTGCCAAGATAGCTGACTAGAAGCAGCTAGTGCACACTGCTCTTATGGAGAAGAGGTAGACTGGCAAGTAAACACTAGTTCTTCAAGTAGATCACACAGGAGGCCATGTTTTGATTCATCAGAAAGCAACAGTGACCCACAGAAAGCAAAGAGCAAGGCAGCT